TGGCAGAACTCGTCTGTTTCAAAGTGGACGTAGCAAAGTCTTGGGTAAGGTTACTTTACTATTGACGGTCAAGACAAATTTCGGCGTTAGTCGTCTTGGTAGTTGTCCAAGTGTTATTGCGCGTGAAGATTTCACAGTCTGCTAAGTACGTATAGTCAGTCAAATATATAGTCATCTGAATGGAAATCGGTATCCCATTGTTTTTGATGTACAGTGGAAGGCAAGACAGTTTTTGATTGGAAAGGATGGGTGCTTGGATGCTGAATGGCTTGCGGAACCCCTAGTTCCACTATGTATGTCCAAAGTAGTGGTGGTTTAGAGTTATGTAGGGTGTCGGACTGCGGATCGGTGAACTTATACTTATACTCACGGGTGTGAGTGGTTCAACAAATTTGCGAGTGGATAGGACCCAATGCCGGTTCAGCAGGTTAGTTTTGACGGTAAATGCAGATTTCGGTCTCAGTATAGTCTTCGTCTAAATCTTCTGTTAAACTGTTACCTCTTAAGTTTTGTGTGGAGATTCTACATCAATCTGCTTTCTGGGTATAATCCTAAGTATTTGACTTGAATAGAACTCAAACTCAAGTTGTCCTTGGAGGTAGTTTGGATGGGTTCAAATTAGAGGACAAAATTACGGTTCATTTGAGTAGGTGGTGGTGATGGTAATGGGGTGTTTATGTAGGTAAGCAGTATGATGTTATAAATGGTGGGACCAAGAATGCTCCCTTGTGAGATGCCAACTTGTAACAGTTTTATTTCCGAGAACATTCACTCTAAATCAGATGTCAGTTAGATAGTTTTCAGAACAAGATAATAAGGGTTGAGTGGTTAAGTTATAAAGCACGTGCGGGTGCCAGGCCTGTGCTAATCTAGGAACGCACCCAAACTATCTGTTTATTCTATAGACCAAACAAGGCAATAAGATATTTTTCCAACTGCGTACAAAATTAAAAAAAAGAAAATAATGTAGTGCAAGAACATATAATTAGTACTACGTTAACTCTTTCAAATCTTTCAAATAAAGTCAACAGCAAACCCCAAGAATGTGAAAGTTATTGCCTCACGCTAAATTAATGAATTGCTGAACTTAGATAGGTGATAAATTAATGAGCTTGAATGAAAGGATACCTTAAGTTTATAATAGAATCTATTGTAGCGGAACTGTGCCAAGTTTGGGAAGTATTTGATGCTTAGATCAGAGTTGATGGTTGGTGACTATTGTGGCATTTAAATTTGTTTGGGTTGTTCCCGTCCGTAGGTCAACATTTTTGCGCAGCTTCGTATTTTTTTTTTTTTTTGCAATGTCTATTTTGATTCTCGGACAATCAGCCGTTTTATAGTCTAACCAGTCAGTTCGTTTTAATCGGTTCTGTGGGTTCCAACTGTGTCTTTCGGCCAGAAGTAATCCAAATCGAACGGGGAAGAAAATCGTCGCCCTTTAAAAATAGATAAATAACCGTTCTGAACGGCCACGCTTAGGAAATTGTTAAAAACGGCTAAAAGAAAACAGTCGTAATTCCAGACGGGTTGAATTACAAAAACCGTATCGTCAGTCCGGCCCATTTTGTTCTCGGGCATGAAAACCTCATGCCGTGACAATTGACCAATTTTTGGTGCCAAATGCCCCCTTGGTGCAACGCGTGGAGCAACGTGACAAAGCAAGCCCGTTGGTATTGCCGCAGAAGCGAATAATCCCACCATGAAAATTGATAATTACTCCTGCCTTCCAGTGTCTACCTATGAAGGAGGAATTCGATGACAGCATTCCTCATGTTAATATTCTGATATCGAGTAGGAATAATCCACAATCTTCCGCTTATTTCGATTAGGGACCGAGAAGAATTTTTATCTGCGCTAGATTAAAAATAATTCAGGGCTGTTTAATAAAGGTTGATCGGACGTCACGACATTAATGCAGTCTTTCGTTATTGCCTGTTGAGGTTGGTTGTTCCGCAATTCCCACAGTGATTATTAAATTCGACGCGTTTAGGCTTAACCCCACATGGCTGTCAATTCAGGCATTTCATAACAACCACAACATTACCAAAACACATTAATAAACTATTATATTTTCGAAAATCGTACGGGTCAGTAGTAACAGCCTAATTATAAAAAAGTAATTATTTTCGTTAAATAAATCTGAGATTATCAGAAATCCAAAGACAAGGTCGAAAAACTAGCATTTTCTTTTTATTCGGCTTTCCACGTAACATTGAGTGGATGGACAAATATTTTTGAACTTAAGCTTTTGCCTCAAAATATCGTTTTATCAGTGATTTCAACTCCTGGATCATAAACTCAATTCCTGGATTATAAATTTTTTTGTTATGTGGATGCATTTCGAGGCTATTTCTGCCTCCTCTTCAATAAATTTTTTTTTAGTTTCTACGGACGACTTTCGTCAATAGAGTGGCAGACAATAGTGTAAATAGACGACAGTCGTTTGTTGACACTCAATATAAAATTGTACTGAGATGGAAGCAGAAAGAGCCTCGAAATGCATCCACATAAAAAAATAAAAAAGTTTATTATACAAATTTATTATAATCCAGATTCTTATCCAAATCAAACAAACCAAGATACTAATAATTCCTCCTAAGATGACATGCTCACAAATGCCTCAATTCGAAAAAATTCAAATTTTTAAATCACTCCTTTGTCACATATTTTTAATCTTCGTTGTCTTCTGGGAGTTTTTCCGTAAAAAATCATTAGTCATTTCATTATTTAAAAATGGTTCTAAACAGAAATAATTATAGATCAATTTCTTTGACTTTATCAGTTTTGATGCAACAGAAAAATGAATTAAGACAAGGTTACTTGATTTTTTAATTAATAATAATATTACAGCAGAAAATCAATATGACTTCTTACCAGGTAAACCTGGTTGTTGGCTTTGTTGGGTATCACAAATTGTATGGAATGATATAAATAAGTTTGATAAAAATAATTTTGTTTTAGGGGTGTGTTTAGAAATTAGTAAAGCACTTGACTCGGTCGACCATGAGTTGTTTTTTTTTTTTTTTTTTTTTTTTTTTTTTTTTTTTTTTTTTTTTTTTTTTTTTTTCCCCGGGGGCTTCCAACAGTAAAGTCATTTCAGCCCCCTNGCCTTCCCTTAGTCTTTTATACCTACGACCAGGTTGGGAAAGGGGATGTTGGGAAAAGGGATGTGTTAGGGAGTGACGAGGAGTGGACATTATGGGGAGAGGGATGGTCGCTTCTCCTCACTGGGATAACGGTGAGGAAAAGGCTCTTTTAGTCGCCTCATACGACAGGCAGAGAAACCGTGGGCCTATTCTGCCCCGGAACCCACACGGGGTACCATGAGTTGTTATTGTAGGACAAAATATTTACACTAAACACAACGGAAAAAAAAAATAAAAAGAAGAACAATAAAATAAACAACGCCAAAAAATAGAAGAATAGCAAAAACAAAATAGTTGTAAAACACAACTTTAACTTAATAAAAATGCACCAAAAAATTCAAGTAATTTTTCTGCTTTGGTAGTTCAATATGTTTATTGTGCGTTTCGTTTGATTTGTTGGCTTTGTTGGATATCACAAATTGTATCATAAATGAGCTTGATAAAAATAATTTTGTTTTCGTTGTCTTTTCAGAGATTAGTAAAGCATTTGACTACGTCGATCATGAGTTCTTATTGTAAGACAAAATATTTACACTAAACACAGAAAAAAGAATAAAAAGAAGAACAATAAAATAAACAACACAAAAAAATAGAAAGAAGAATAACAAAAAATAAAATATTTTTAAAACACATTTATAAGTTAATAAAAAAAAGGACAAAAAAAGTAAAATTTAAAGTAATTTTTCAGCTTTGGTAGTTCAGTATGTTTACTGTCTCTTTTTTATGTGTTTTGTTTGATTTTTATGTTGCATTTTTTTCTTAATTTTCTAAACTACGACTAAGGCAACATCTCTTGCTAAGGGATGTTTCACATATATAAGTGTGCTTTGAAAAACACTTTTCAAGAAATTATTGTTTATACTTAGAGTGAACGGATTCTAAGTCTCATTCAGTCCCATCTGAACTTAAGTACTTAGAGATCTGGGGAACTGCCGATCAACTCCCAATGCTCTATTTATGCTCCTTTGACGTGTGATCAAACTCTGCATACTAAGAAATTCATTTTGAAAATAATCGTCGACTCTATATTCCAAAAGCTCAGCAGAATTACAGTTGACTAATATGGTACTATTCCCTACGAAAAATCTACCCTACAGAAGGCTGTAACGACAATGGCCAAGAGATCGCTTTGAAATAGCGCACAAATATATTTTTAGGAGGAATTAAAAAAATTAATTAATTTAAAAAACCTAAATTATGTATATGACATAATTGAACTGCAATAATAATCAAAAAACTCAAGATTGGGAAGATACTAACGTCAAAACGACTAAGTGGAATAAAATATTGTCGTTGTAATACATAAATAAGTAATTATTATCATTAATTGGCATTTTTTATTCTTATCTCGGGGTATACAAACATGCAAGATCCGAAACATCCGACGTTTCAACCTGTCTGAATGATACAAAAATTCGAATCAGACGTCGGTTTTAACAAGATGGGACGCCACACATTTCCCAGTTGCAGTTCGTCAATATGTTCACATGGCATTTCTTGAGTGATGTGTGTACGTTGAGCAACTCCTCAATCACTTACCCGTCAACGTTGTAAGATTTTCATGATGGTATTCGGAAAAAGAGAACAGAAAAAAACAAATCAAGTCTTTATGTCAAAAATAAATTCTAGTTTTAAACTATTTTTTTATATTTAATCGGTTTAAATTGTTGTTTCGTCTTTGTTCTGTAAAACGGGTTTGTTAATTACCTGAACACAAGGGCAGACTTACACTCAAAACTTAAGCTAAAAAAATTAAAAACTCAAAAATTAATGAACTAAATTTAATATTAATTTTTAGAAAATCGATTATATAAGTAATCAAAATTTCTGTTATTTTTCAGAAATTCCGTTCTCCCAACTAAGAACAAGACGAATTCAGGACGTCAGATGCTATTTGGTATACGATTGGCTCCAAAACAAATGAAGGAGGATAAGGCGTTTCTTATACTTCCACAAAATAATAGCAATCGAACTCATTTGGGAAGTACACCTCAAACAATGAAATGCCATCAACTTTTGTGTCTTAGAAAATCTTAAAATACAAGGAGAAAAATCCTCATATGAACGGATAGTCAAGAATTAAACCATTAAAATGTTAAAAAATCACAACAAAATTAGTCAGAATGAATACATGCAAAATCTCCAAAACCTGGTGATAAGTTGGGTACCACGACAAAGGGGAATTTTTGGTAACGGCCAGGAAACAATAGCGAGAGGAGAATCTGCAAAACCATATATAGAACATCCTAAAAAAAATAACAAGGACAAACTGAGCATTCTCCATCACAGATTCGATCTAAAAAAACACAACAAAAGAAATGGATAAATTCTTCAGGTGTAAGTTTATGCTAACACAACCTTCAACCAGACTGGCAAAATCACTGCTACAGTAGGGAAGAGCTAAACTCAGAATATTGGTAAGACTATTCAACATCTACACAACATGGACATGTACACTAAGGACTTTGTAGGTTATTTGATAGAAGGAAGAAACAGCTAACCAACTTCGAATGCTAATCAACCGTCCAATGGAGACCTAACCTGATGTACAAAAAAAAAACCAAGGAAAAGAATTGTAGCAACGACAGTTAATGACCTAGTATTCCTTGGGAGAACGATCTAGACAATTGCGCTGAACTAGGAAAGTACGATAAGCCAGGCGGCTGCAATGCCTCCTATATCATCATCGTCGTTTACCAAGTAAGCCTAACTTAATTACTCAAACTTTTTGCGAGATTTGAAATTATTTTGTATTTTTTTTGTCATTTTCAGTGCAGTAGGAATAATCGAAAACAGTTTCTCCTTGCTTCTATCGATGACCAACCAGTGATGATGGCTAAAAGTCGGAACGCTTCCAATAGCGAGGATAGACTGCCAAAAATAATGTTCTTTTTCAGAAACTCCTTTTGAATACATTTTTATACAGTCATACATTTTGAAATGTATTTGTCTCAATTTTCTCAGTTAGTTGACTTTGACCAATTAGTTTTTCTTTTACAACTGTACAGTTATTCTGTTAGTTGTATTTGTTGAGTATGCATTTATACAGCACTTTTCAACTTAATGATGTAACGATTGTAAAATATATACAATTAAATATCAATCCACTCTTTCATGGTGAAATTATTTGTACTATTTCATTTTTAATTAATAGGAAAGCACATATATGTATCCAGTAGTGTTTGCTCGGGTTTCAATCAATGATGCTTCCACCAAAATTGGATATTCCATTACGAAAATTACCGTATGTTTGTCAGTATGTGATTTAACATCACCAAACAATTCGAAACTGTTAGATATTTCAGGTCATGATAAAATGACGAATCGGCCACGCCTACATTACAGTTTTGGCAAACTTGTTAAACGACATTTTCGCCGTCACGTAATTTTACCAGGATAGAAATTTGTTTTTGTCGAGATAAAATAGGATTAGGGTTTGGTGTGTAATCTCCGACGAAGGGCCACGTGGGTCCTGGGGGGATTCGCTGTATTCCGAATGGATAACATGTCGTGCTGGGATTCCTACCCCATCATTTTGTATTAATTTACAACTAAGGTTAACAACAAATCAAAAGATAAGCAACAATTTTCAGATTAAGGCTTATTAAAAATGTATACCGGAATGGAACGCTTTTTGAAAAACCATAAAAATGGATGGTTAACTCTTTCCAATCTGCGTTGTATGTTGTGGTAAAAAAACAAATCGTTTCTTAATATACAGGGTGTCCTTTTTCATATGGACCAGCCACTTTTACTGTACTAAAGAAAAATATATAAAAAAGTTGAATTATAACCTCCCCTTTATTTCACTTTTTTTTATTGCAAATATTCAGGATGTATCAATTGATTTTAATGAATTAATTAATTTTCATGAACAACTTTTTGTTTTATTGAAATCATTCAAGGGTTTTGTAAATTAGAAATAACGTAAATTATCGATCGAATTGAAGTTATCTACGTGAGGGATCAGGGTAGTGGTCCGAATAAAGCACAGTGTTGATTTATGCCAAGCTTTCGGCATAATTAACACATTAGCACTCTCTCGAAACTGCCTCACAAGTCTCATCAGGGCCGGTGTCAATCAAGAAACCGTCGCTGATAAAACCCTACTGCGATATTTACGGTTACTTTCCACAAAAGTCTCCAATATATCACCTGTGAAGACTGACGAGGCGTCCAATCCAATAAAGCAACTGGAAGGTGTTAATTTTTTGTTGATGTTTCAAAATAAACAATTTTTTAATATTCTTACTGAGGCATTGTTATCATTCCCAGTGGCAGGACCAGTGAGAAGAGGATTATCAGATCGATAAGTTTACCAACGCTTCCTCTTTTAAAAGCATCCTTGTTATTTTTTCTAAATTCCGTTTTTCAACTCTGCTTGACTGCGAAAAAGTGAGGGTAACATTCAAAAAGATGGATCCCCGTACTATTATTTAAAAAATGTGTAACTGTGGGTTAAAATTTTACTTTTTTCACACATCGCTTTATTTTCTATAAAAATGGCTCGTCCATATGATCTTATTGTCGTCCATTAAAGATGACTTGGGAAACCTTTCAGAAACCAATAAAAGTTCTATTGGACGTATCATTTGTTTACTGCGAATGGGTTACATTTTAACCAAGATAAAAAAAAAGACAGTTAGTCTGGGCCTTCATGATCGTCTCTGACAATCAGGGTTTTATTGAACTTTCAGGAATAAGAGTTGATCCTCTCCTGAATTGGGGTGATCATTGTGGGAGACGGGTCAAGCGTCTGAACTCTAATATTTATCTATTGGGTGGTCTCATGAGTCTGACTTCCCTAAAACCATTTAAAACAGTTTACCATGCATTTATTTATTCAAGCATAACGTATGGCATACTAGTCTAGGGACAATCGGCATCTAAACCTGCCTTTGAATTGCAAAGAAGAGCCAATACTGGTCGCCAAACATTCTTTGCCCAATACTTTCAAGTTCTTGACATTTAACATGTTTCAAACAATTTTTTGAACATGTTGGTTTAGCAAGGCTTTTATGGCTGTCAATGAGCTTTGTGAATTTGATTTTTAAATTTTAATGTTATATACACACAAATTTTTATGTGAATATTTTGACTCTGTAATACCATACGTTTGGGGTATATCTCAATAAATGCTATTCTATTGTATGACAATTGACACGTTGTATATAAATTATCTTACGATTTTACTCATTAATAATATATTCACTAGTTCGTGGTCCGCTGACCAATTAATATCTTACAATTAATTAGGGTTTTCAGTTGAGATAAAAAGTCAATGGCACGATAGCTCAAGTGGTAGAGCAGCTGGTTCGAATCCCGCTCGTGCCTTTGACTTTCTATCTCAACTGAAAACCTTAATTAATTGTAAGATATTAATAATATAATCCGATTTAACAGAAGATTGAAATAGAATTAAACATTAAGGTAACATTAATAAAATTAATTGTTTTTAACTCGATATAAATTGATATTAGACTTCAACTTTCGTCAAGCTTTCTAGGAACAAAACTCCTTCAACAGGACTTTGAAACTAATATTCAAAATTCACAGTTTAACAAGAATCGCACCCCTACCAACCCTTCACTGTTTGAATCAAGTTTCAGTACGGAAGTTAGATGTTCATACTTGTTAGAATAATCTGGATCTCGTTGTGGTCTGGGAGAAAAAACAAATTCAGTTATCTGCCAAGGGTTCGGCATATTTTAAAGTCATCAGGGTGAAACAATCTTAAAGACCATAACGACCATAACGAGATCCAGATTATACTTTAGTAAAAAAGTGGTCGATACATCTAACACTTTAAATATATTTTTTAACTTTGTTAGTAGTTAATAAAAGTTTTACCCTCATCATGAAGGGGGTTTATTCCTTGAAGGACGAAGGAACAGCGCGCTTTTCTTCTCTTTCAAATTAGCCTTCTTCCTAATCTTTAATAAAAATTATGTTAATAAAGGCTATTACACAGAGAAAAACTTATATGAAGCTATTTAATTTCTATATTATTATTTTTTATAATTGCATTTATGCCAAATGGACAGAAAAGGAAAAATAGATACAGTCATTCAAATGATGAATATTCTGACAAGTAACAACATCTAAATCACCTACTCTAAAAGTTGATGATTTTTACGATTTTTAAGCTCTGTTAACATAGCAATTTTTTTTAGAAATCTTGAATTACTTTTAACTTGTCATTAAAATTTATTAAGCAAACTTCTCAGGTTTATTAAATTATGGAAGATATATCATTTTTATCAGTTAATTTTACCGTAATTAATTTCCTTGAACATAGGAATAAAATAACGCATGAAATAAAAATAGCAGCTTCCGGGTTCAACCAAGCTTTCGGCGACTTTTATCGCCATCCTCAGGGCTTCCCCAAGAAAAATGAATTTATATACATCATATAGATTAAGATTGCACAGGGAGTCGCTCTCGTTTTTTATCCCATCTACATATTTTTAAGTTTTTAATGTTTTAATCGTTATTTTCGGGTATATTTTTAATATTAACTAGTCTGCCACCATAAAAAAACCAGTACCTGAATAAAGTTTTATGTAAAATAGTAATGTAAGCATAAGTGGTTGTACCGGTCGTTCCTTTTTATATTTTTGTTGGATCTCTTATCGCTCAAGATCTTACTCAACAAGTGCAATCTTCACCTATATGATGTATATAAATTCATTTTTCTTGGGGATGCTCTGAGGATGGCGATATAAGTCGCCGAAAGCTCGATTGAACCCGGAAGCTGTTCTTTTTATTTCATCCGTCATTTGACTTCTCGAAAATCCAACTCGTAACATTAATTGCTGCAGGACGATAACTTCAACTTCATAGGGATGAAAATAATATTCAATCGTGAAAATTGTGTTTTTCCTTCGTGGTACGCACTTTGGTATTCATAGAATCGGTTCCAGACCGAATCTACATAAAGAACAAAACATGTTTTGACAGGACCTTATCTAACTAAAATAGTTGGTGTTTCTGTGACCTAAACTAGACAAATAATTTGAACAATTAAAAAAAATTCTACCTGTGGAATTGAGTATGGTATTACTAAAGGGTAACAAATAGAACTAACAGTTGATTTTTTTTCAGTTATGCGTTGTCCAAAGTTAAATGTTTCTTTCAAATATCGTGTTTTTTGATATAATATCTCGGCCACACCCATGGCCTAAAATATAACTGTAATTTGTGTAATAGCCGGTACCGGTCTGGCACAAGACATTATCGTGGGGCACTGCACGCATCGACGGACCCTCCGGAAGGGCTCGCACCGGAAACTATCCACGGAATTAAACGCCGACTTGTTTTCTCCAGTGTAACACAAAAAATAAAAATAAAAAGTCTCATTCATTGATAAGTCGTACAGCAGGTTGTAGGCTGCGTGAGTAATCTGCATATTTTAAAAGGACGGAGTTATTAAGCCAGCCAAGCAGACCGTAAAGGCGTAGATTTTTTTAAATTGATTATTTTACGCCTTCCCTACACGGATGTTGTGAACTAGTGAATGACAAGTTATTTCGACGAAACATTTTCAAGCGTCCAGCAATATCCATATTGGATGCAAAAAAAAATTATATTCCCCTGTTACACTTCCTATAACTCAGGAGTTAGATTAAAACTACCATACACTTTGTCACAGTTAAACGTTGTCCTGGACTAAGGAGCAATCTGGGATTTGTTGAATAACAAAATAAAAGGTGAAGGTTTAGTGATTTTGTCCCATAAAAACTGCTACATTTTTAATAGATAAACTTTTAAAAAAATAGTGATATAGAGAAAAATTATCCCATCCGAATAAATTGATTCCGAAAGGTTAATTTTTTTATAACGGTAATATTCGTTTTACCAGCCATATTCTCACTTCTTTTATTAATTTTCAACATTTTATATATTGTGTGGTGATTAGTGACCGTTAATCGATATTTATTTAGAAATCGTGAGATGCGGTCTGGTGTGATGTAGGTTTCAGAAAAACATTTTCTTTATCGTGCCAACGTTTCGATCTTTATTGAGA